GAGAGGAAAAATGTCAAATGAAAAGAGATAGCTATATAGTTCACTATAGTTTACTATATAGCTATCCCTTTTCCGCTCATTCATTATCGATATTTTTCCGCTCAACTTTTCTGTATAACATTTTCGCTCGAAACTACTCAAATATCATTTGATGAAATGATAGAATAGAAAAATCTCATTTTATGAGACAAAAATAAATCGAATCTAATCGAATTTAAATTCTTTGCATTGAATTCTAGCTTATTGTTCTGCTTGTCTTAGTCGTAAGTTCATTTCCACGAAATCTTTGAATTCTTGTCTATCATCGCGATTTGTTCCGACCAAATTTTTCTTGTTCAGCACGAGACCGTTACCGAAGATGACCTGTATTCAAAAGAAGAAGTCATAAATTCATAAATTCTGAGTAATAATCCAATTACTTGATCAAAATCAAAATAAATCTATACCAAAGTCTTCCAATAGAATGTGTCGAATGTTTGAAAATGCATCAGTTCAACGTCGTTGTCTGCACCGTGACAGGTAACATCGTGAGTGCTGAGCTCAAGTAAATCCAGTGTTTCGAAGCTGCAGAATGAGCATTTGGTTGGGAATTGATGATCATTCAAATGGCCGAAAAATTCGTCTGGGCTAACTTTTGCCTGACAACAGCCAGCAATCAAATGAACAGACTCATTGTCGTAGAATTTCTCTGATTTCGCTTTGAACAATGGATGCTTCACTTCATGATGCATTTTGAACTCAGTTTTGGTCTCAAACACTTCTTGGCAATACTCGCACCGGCGTTTCTTCTGTCCTTTCATCTCGATGAGCTCCTTCAAACTGGCATTGCTCAATGGTATCGGGCAAAAAATCTCGGCTTGATCAATCGAACTGTGTTCATGTTCAAAGTGTCCATCGAGATTTTGACCGGAATATTCGCATAGTCCACACTTTTTTGGATTGAGTACATCGACCATTGCAAATATTTCCATGGGATGTGTTTCAAAATGATGCCACTTCAGCCCTTGATAAGTGCCCATCAGTTCGCAATGGAAACACTGGGCAATTTCAGCTTTGACGAATCGAAATGGTTCCGAGTGTGTGGAAAACCAGTGACTAAAAACCTATGGAACAATGGAGGTAATCAAAGGATAAGAAAAAGAGAATAGAAATAACCCGGACGAGGAGAAAGAAGCTCTTTGTCACGAACCTCTTGACTGTTGGCATAGCCCATGAATTGAACGCCATTTTTGAAGCAAATGTAACAATAAAACACCGTCTGAATGGCAGTTAAGCCGACATCATCATTTTCACTTTCATCAGTGTATTTCAGGAACACTTCGCCAGGTTTCAACAGCAATGACTGCGTTCGATGCGATTTCGTGAAATGTTTGATGAGCGATGGCTCATTGAACCGTGTCTCATCGCAAAGAGAACACTCGAAGAACTGGCGCAAAGTCAATGGGTATTTGTTCAATACCAAACTGGTCACCGAAGTGGCTGCCGTACGTTTGATCAATTTGCTGGCCGTAAAGTCATAATTCAACGAAGCGTGGCACGTTTTGAAGTGATCCGATCCACTTGCAAAAGTGTAAAATGGACCATTGCATACATTGCACTGTAGCATAACGATAAACTCTTCAATAGCTTCAGATTTCGTCCAGCCATCGTGGTACTGATGCCGGAAACGTATTGTTTCTTTTGAATGATCGTGAATGATGTGCTCAATGGTGTTTCGTTCCGATGAAAAGGCCATTTTACACATGATGCACCAGAACAAGTGTTTGCCGTGCAATTTCATGTGTTCAGTGACACGGCGAACAAACGATTTTCCTTTTGGCTTAATAATTTCCGAGCAATGTAGACAACCGAACGATTCATCGGGTACAGAACCATTGTGACTTTGACGAAGATGAGACTTGAAGTCCGCATAATCGGGCGAATGGAATTCACACCATCCAATGCCACATTTGAAACGTGACGCATCGGCAACGTATTCAATGTTCTTTACTTTGATCAGCTTCAATGGTGTCAGATCGGGAATCAATACGATTTCATCGTAACCACGGTCAATCTCTTCATTACGCATTCCATGTTCATGCAAAAGATGCAGTCTCAGACGACTCTCGTCCATCTGTGTGTAATTGCATGCTTTGCACATGAATGCCGTTAGCTCATTTTTGTCATCGCTTAACGAGGCACTGTCACGTGAAGCCATCGATTCACCAGTGTGATACAGCAAATGATCCTTCCAATCGCTTAAAGCGAATCGTCGTGTTTGTTCGCAAAAGAAACATAGGCCTGAAATCTGTGTCAAACTCGGTGTGTATGTAAAATTCTCAGAACGCTGTCGAATTTTTTTTGCCATTGCCGGCGATGGCCGAGCCACATACACCTCATTCTCCGGGTGTGTTTCCTTCAGATGATCAATCAGATTTGTTTCCAAATTTTTGCATAGCATACACTTGAAGCGATACAACGGATTTGTTAGGTAAATGTTCCGGTTGATGTTTTTCGACCCATCTGATTCAAGTATTTCACCGTCTTCTGCAATAATGAGACGAAAATTGTTTGTATTTTTATTTTATAAACATTTTTTGACACTATTTTGCTTTATTCACTCATTTTTTTTCTCGATAATTTATAAAATTTTGCAAAAATATCAAGACAAAATACAAAAATGTTCACCCAAATCCTCCTTGCTCATCGAATCAGCGCTGGTTTTATGCTTTTTGGCCTGCTCTTTGCCGTGGTCCACTGAATTTGGTCGTTTTTCACCCAAATTTTCCTTTTCCTCAGCTTGGTACTCAAGCTCGGATCCCACACCGTAAATCGAATCCATTGAACGGTTGCTCGAGCTGGACGATTTGTCGTGCGACTTTTCGCTGTCGCTCGTTGCCTCAGCCTTACTCAGCTTTGTTTCACCACTGGTGTCCAGCGAACTTTGATCGGTACTTATTTCCGCATCTGGTATGCTATTCGAATCGTAATCCTCGACAATTTTCAATTGTTCATTCTCCCATTCACCGTGCAGCTCTTCTTCGTCTCTCAGCTTCTGATCGATCATCTCATCTTTCACTTGGCCATTTTTTGATTCCTTCACGTCCAAAATTTCAATCAACTTTTTGTCGTCACTCTTGATACTCTGCTTCGCATCGACTGTATCCGTCGGTCGCTCAGCTTTCTTTGCAAAATAATCAACCTCTATCTTTTTGCAAGTGGCGACGAGACTGGAAAGAGAATCAAATATGCATTGATGAAGGAACATTTGATGAATTGCAATTGAAATTGTCATAATTTTGACAAAATCCATACAGAATTTGTCATTGAAAATATTGACTTTTGAGCCATTGACTCCAATAAACGAGAAATAATTGCATTAACTTACCGATAGTTGAGATAATCGAAAAAATTCGACATCAAAGCTATGTCTTGCGACTGTGTACAGCGTTCGAATGATTGTGACATTTTGTGGAGCTCATCCTCGATGCGATGCTCATGCATTCGAAACACTTTCTCCAAATCACGTTCACAAACACCGCTCCCTTTTGATTCGGACATGATTTTTGGCCTAAAAATGATTGAAAATTCACGAAATAAGAGAGGCTCATCATAGGAATCCCTTCCGATAGTCCATTGTAATAAAAATGAATAATCCATTGAATTAAAGAAACTCATTCCATACTGGTACTCATGCCAATATAAAATTATGGACTGGAAACTAGCCAATGTAAATATACGCAGTAAAACTTCACCACAAGCACTTTGGGTTATGGTAAACAATTGGCATTTGTTATGGCACTTTTCTTCGGCCGTAGATCGTAGAAAATTGACAAAATTTACCCAATCAAATTATCAATAACACTCACCTTTATTCAATCCACGACAGCAATAAAATATCCAAATTTACCGTTTGGCTTCAAGTGGTCACGAAAATTCAATTGTGCGGAGAAAATTCTTTCCGATAAATTCTCGTTCGGGCACTATCAATTAGTTCATTTTGACGTTTCGACATATTTTACCGCCAATAAAACAGAGCACCGTATGCTGATGCTGCACAATATCATTCATTCTTTTTTCTGCCTCGCTTTTGTCATTGTCCGTCTCTTTCGCTCTTATCCCATTCTCTTCTCCATCATTCGTACGCACAATCTACTTTGTCGTCGGTGAGACACTCTGTGAGTGTGATGGTGATGCGAACGAAAGTGGCGTGATGCTGTTTTGCATATCAAGCATTCGCCACACACAGTGAAAGTAACAAATGTTGACCACACAAACGATTGGCATCACATACAACAAAGTAAGCATGCCGTCGGCATTTTAGATATCAAATTATAGCTGTTGTTGTGTGCGTGACTTAAACAAACTGTTTACGTTGCGAATATTTCCGTACAGAGGAGCTAATACAACCACAACCGTCATTCGGCCACTGGAAATGTTTATATGCAAAGCAGACGACGCTGTCGATAAATACCAACTTTTATGAACGTATGAACGCACTCCAATTTTTCATGAAGAGATTTTTTTACTATTCAACACATTAAATTTCTTTTTTAATTACAAAAATAATTCAAATTGAATTTAGCATAATCCAAAAAGTATTTTTTTCTTTATTTTTTTCTTCACATTTTTAATGAATTAATTAAATTAATTGAATGCCAAAAATGATTGACAAAAATTTAAATTGTTTATGTTTTTTTTTCGTTTTTAAAATGCGAAATATTTGAATGAGAAACTATTATAGTTTACTAAAAAAAAATAGACAGTTTCCTTGATAAATTAGACGGTTAATGGGAAAATGTGTGGGAAAAATTATGAACAAAATTGAAGACTATGCGATTTGGAATTTAAACTACATTTGCACATAATAAAGATAGAGAAAATAGAAAGAATGAATGAATTAGCGGTTGTGCCATTAGTAAATATTATTTTCAGTTGAAAAAATGTCAAAAAAAAATCTTTTCAAAATTTTGGATTGATTTTCATGAAAAATGCTCCCTAAAATCTAATTCAAAGACTCAATCGGTATAGATGGCATCTTTTCGATCGGTTTTTTTTCAACCCATTTTCTTTTATTTTTCTTGTTTTGTTTTTTCTTTTCAAAAATCTAATTGAAACTTCTCCAATATCATTTCTCTGCTTTCATTTCTTTGATGAGCTCATGAAGTTGATCGCTTTGGTCATACTCGGTGCCGGATAATTGTGCCATTTCGAGTATCAGCCCGTTACCGAAAATGGCCAGCGTGTTCCAATAGAATTTCTTCAAACGTGATTTGGATGAAAAATCATGAGCTCGAAGGTGTTCAAACAGTTCGGTTGGTTTGATAGTCTCTTGACAGCAGCCAGTAACCAAATAAATGCTCTCGTTGTCATGAAACTTTTCCGAATCTTCACGAGCGAACGAATGTTTTCTGGCATGATGATATTTGAAGTCAGTTTTCGTTTCAAAGACCTGGAAACAATGTAGACACTTGCGTTTTGCCATACCCTTTAAATTCCGCAGTTTCATCAATGTGTCATCGTCCAAAGCAATTGGATTGAATAGATTTGCTTTGAGCACCGTTTTGTGGTCATTTTCAAAGTGTTTCGTAAAGGAACCACAATGGTCAGCCAGGCATAGGCCGCATTTGGATCGATCGATCAAGTTTCGAATTGCGAATTGATCCTTTGAATGGTGTTGAGCATGGTGAATTTTCAGTCCAAAAAATGTACTAATGAATCTACAGTGATGACATTCTACCAGTTGAGTCACCGTGAATCGGAACGGCTTTGGATTCTCCTTTTTGCCATGATTATCCGACCAATGATTATAGACATCTTTGACATCGGAATAGAACAAACAGTTCAATGGATCAGTATTGTCGCAATAGTCACACAAATAGATCAGATATTGATCAAAGCTGGAATTAACTTCGAGCAATTTCGAAGTATAGGACGATCGAGTCAAATAATTCTTGAATTCAACGCTCAGCTCACTGGAACGATGCTGAACGATGTGATGACGAATGAGTTTCGCTTTGGTTGTCAATGTTTCATGGCACCAGCCACATGCAAAATGTTGTTGAAACAGAATATTCTCATCGAATTCAACCATTGAGAATTTCGTCACATTGTCTTTGTCCGTTTCTTTGACCAATTGAATGAGCTTAAAATTCGCATGATGTGAATGATGACACTTCAAATGGTGTTGAATTGGGTCCTCTTCCAATCGAGCATGGCACATGTTGCATTCAAACAAAATAACCACGTCCTGTCGTAACAATTTTGCCCGAAATTCGCGGCGAAAATTGCAGTAACCATCGGTGTGACAAGTCAAAATATGTAGAATGGTCTCAAAATCAGTGTAAAACGTCGTATCACAAATTGTGCACTGATTCAAGAGATCGTTGTGATGGTTGTAATGCTTGAGAATGGTATTGATGAACGACTTGGTGTCTCGTGTAGCATTCGTGATTATTTCCTTGCAATGTGGACACGAAAACATTCGAGCATCTGCATGTTTGTGCGTAAAGTGTGTGGTGAATTGATCGTTGCTATTGCCCATCGTATTGCAACCTTTGATACCACATCCATACCGATATCTGGCCGAAACGTAATTGTACTTGGTGTGACTGAGTCTGGGTACGGAACGGAGATCTGGAATCAAAACGACCTTATCCAAGCTGTTCTCAGCTTCTTGCTCGGATCTCATGTGAACATCCATAATGTGACTGACAACTCGATGCATATTAAACTGGATATAATCGCATTTGTTGCATATATACGCTGTCACATTGCCACCTTTAATATTCCGATACGTTTGATGCTGCACACAGTGGTCCGGCTGAAATTTCGGTAGGCCAACATTGCAACCAGTGCAATAGAATGGTTCTTCGCCGGTGTGCATCAACAAATGATCGGTCCAATCGTGGAAGCTCATCTCCAGTTTTCGCTCGCAAAAATAGCAATAGGTTCGGATCTTATTCCAAGAATTCACTTCTGCATCGAGAAACGGAGACGTACGTGATCGCAGTCGAAGTGCCGCATCATTTGAGAGTTGTACTTTTTCATTTTTGAAGCCAGTGTGGTCTTCATTCGTGGTTTTTGTCCAATTTTTCTTCATTTTGACAAAGTGATTTTGTTTGGATTTCATAAAAGGATTTCGCTTTGATTCGTACGGGGCTTTCTTCGTTAAATCCATAAAACGTTTTGACTTTTTGGCCTGGAATTCATCTGATTCTTCAGAGCATTTTCGTTTCTGTGCAGCAACAAGGTCGGTGCGAGCTCGTTGAAAGTCTAGAAAACAATCAATATCGAATTCAGACACCAATGGCGTTGAACATTTTGAACCCGGCACCACCTTTGTGTCACCAATTTTCGATGAATCTGTGTCAATCTTTTTGTTTGATTTGTTTTCAATCGATTCGTTGACTGGCCAATCACTTTGTGTCCAGTGACCAGCACTTTGTGTCGACCATTCGCTCTGCGAACTATCACTGTCTCTTCGATTTCTCCCCAATTCGACGCTTTTCATATCATTTTCGTCTGCTATGTCACTAAAACCACTTTCATCTGCGGGTGTTTTCACACTTGCCTGATCTATATGTGCTGGTTTGTCATCCATGTTCTTTGCCCGAACGCCACTGCATATGGTACTCACACTGAAATGTTGACAAAAAATTAAACAGTTCATTATGTAATAGATTAGTATACAGCGTATACTATAGACACAACTTCGTATGAATGTGTTCAAGCCCTATCAGCTGTCTCAATGGGATAGATTTAATAACACCTTTGAAATTACAGCTAAGAATAGAACGGCTTTTAAAATTACAATCTTTTCTTCCCTCATTTAAGCAGATCCAGACAATGATACTCACGTATGACACAAGGATTCAAAGAAGCGTCTGACTTTGGGTTCTTTCGATGGTGACTCATCGACACTCGTTGCAAACATATTCACCATTTTGCGCAAGTCATCTTCGATATTTGCCTGATGAGCTCGGTACATCTCATCCAATTGATCACCCCAGTCCACACTCATTTTGTTTTTGCTGAAAGAAAGAGTTTTGTTTAGAAGAAAATCACGCTTTTTTCAGTGCCTCTTCAAGAGTGTGATTCGATTTTGCCAAAAAAAACGGTGTCAAAAGTAGATATTTTTCGAAGTGTTGAATATTTCTTGAGTCGATACACTTGATGCGAATTTCAACAGTGCATAAACAGAGTACTCGATATTATTTTCGCTTCAGACGAAATTGTATTAAACCATTATGGTTTTCCTATTAAATTTTGCCTTGAAAATCACGAGCAAATATGTTCTTAGAAAATGCAGAAATGTATCGAATCACCAACATAAACTAGTCAAAACTCTAGTCAATTTTGAAAGTCACATATTTTAGATACACTCAGACCAATTGTTGATTTTTTTTTCTTTCAATTTGTGATATATTTCAAATTACCTGATCGTTTGTACGCAATTGGGTTTTGATTTTTATCGTATTTTGAATGTAAACACTGAGAAAAAGATGAATAAAATCTTAAAAAAGGATTTCAATTGTTTCAATTGTTTGCACAATGAGACTGTTTCGTCCAGTTTGCTTATCGTCATTGACTGTTGGTGTTTGAAGCAGGAGAAATGTTGTTCAAATGTCACATCAACAGATTGTAATTGTATTGGTGACGCTACCCGAAACATGAACGATAAAGATGTTTCACACACAAACAAAGCAGTGAAACTTACCCAACACAAGCATAAGCCTGATGACAAGTGGTGGATATTGTGTTGAATAAGATTTGAATAAGCAAAAAAGTGGTTGGGATTTGAAAAACTGTGGAAAAAAGAGATGCATTTTTTATTGTTTTCTGAAATAAAGGTCGATATGTGTCTGTACAAGCCTAGGTGGAAGCTCATTTTATTCGATAATATTTTATTTGATAGGAAAAAATGCCTCTTGTTCTATTTTAATTCTCGTATTTTATTCATTTGGGAAAAAAATAGGAACAGAATTGCATGATCTCTGTGGTTTCATGATCTCTTGGCTTTCAAAAAAGCATTAGACAATTACCAAACAATAATCTAATTTACAATTACTCAATTTACAATTTCTTTGAGAAAATCCCAAAAATTTGGTGGCATCATCGAGCTCTGTTCCCACTAAACCAAACCATCTGAAATAGTCACACTTTTTGTTGATGCTTCATAAAGCCAGAATGTCTGAGCTACATAAAAAATGTCAAATTAGCATTTTCGCCGAAAAAAACCATTTTTATTTATTGATGAAATCACAATTTATGATGCTTTGAACAATGTTTATTTGATTGTGGTGCAATAAACTGCAAGTTTAATATTTGTCGTAACAATTGTTACGGTTAATTAATTATCGACGATTTTTCGATAAATCAAAGTGCTAAAGCATTACAAAGGTATTACATAAAAAATGCTTGATGCATTGCAATAAAATGTATTAAAATTTTGAATAAAAAGAAATATATGTTGATGAGTCGTAAATTTCTTAAATAATGGAATACTCCATTCTGAGTATTAATGGTGAGTCACAATTTATGTTCTCTTCGGATTCTCTTTGTTTCAACTCTTCAAATCTATTGACCCGTTCGAACTCTCATATGAAAATATTGCGACGATTCGACCGTATTATTTCCCGTCCATCGTTGTTTTGATGAAATTCTCAAACTCTTTGCTATCATCATTTTCACTGCCGATCAAATTATGCTTATTCAGCACGAGACCGTTTCCAAAGATGACCTAGAAATTGAATAGATTTAGAAGAAATAAGTATTACACTCTAGTTGATTTGTCAATTTTTTTCCTCACCTTTGTTTCCCAATAATATGTCTTGAGTCGATATTTCGATGCAATATTATGCTCTTTGAAATGTGCAAACAGTTTTTCCGGTTGGATTCTTGCTTCACAACAGCCAGCTATCAAGTGAATGCTTTCATTATCATAAATCTTATCCGATTCTGCCCTGAGTGATGCATGTTTTTCGTCGTGATGTCGATAAAATTCGTTTTTCATCTCAAATACGTCGGCACAATGTGTGCACTTGCGTTTCTTATGCCCTTTTAAATTCACCAGCTTCTTCAAAACATCACCGTTCAAAGCGATTGGATTGAAAAGATTTGCTTTAAGCACTGCCTGATGATTCGTATCGAAATGCTTAACCAAATTACCTTCGCCACGGTCAAGACATAGGCCGCATTTCATGCGATCGATGAGATCTTCAAAGACAAACGGTTTCGTCGGATGTTGTTCAGCCTCGTGTTTTTTCATCCCTGCAAATGTGCTGAATACGTCACAGTATCGGCATCGCGCGAGTTGAGCAACAGTGAATCGAAACGGTTTTGGATCGCGACTTTTGTCATGGGATTCAGACCAGTGATCATATACTTCATCAATACTGGCATAAAATGTACTGATTGAATGGTCCAAATCGCTGCAATAGGCACAGTAATACATCAAATACTGATCGATGGCTAAATTTTGACGCTGCACTTTTGATGTTTTGTTCAAGTCGATCAGGTGATTCTTAGTGAACTCCACACGCAAGTATTGCGACTTATGTACGAGCTCATGATGGCGATTGAGTCGATCTTTTGTTATGAATAACTCGTTGCACCATCCACAAACGAAATGCTTTTGAAATTTCCAAACTTGACCAATTTCACTCGTCACATACTTTGTCACACCATCAAAATTCGTCTCTTTGACAAATTGAATCAATGTAAAATCGGCATGATGCGATTTGTGGCTCTTCACAAAATGTTGAACGGCCTGGCTGGATGTGTCAACGCGTATTTGGCATAAATTACACTCGAACACGACCAGAACTTCTTCCATTCGGTCTATTTCCTTGGCATTACGAAAATCACGACGATATCGGCATACGTCACGGTCATGTTTACCCAAAAAATGACTGAGTATATTGAAGTCATTCGGAAAAATCATGTCACATATGTGGCATTGATCTACAATTGTACCGTGCATATAGCAATGATTCAAGATAACACCAAAAAAATCAACACACGATTCGTCCCGTTTCATGACCTCACCACAGTGTGGGCACACAACTTTGTTTGCCGTCTTATGGTACACCATGAAATGCTTTTTAAAATTGGCCGGTTGCTGAAAAGCCAACTTACAACTTCGAGCAGAACATTGATATCGATTTTTCACAGAAACACACGCAAATTCAGCCGGAATTGGAGTGGTTCGACGCTGCAAATCAGGCAAAAGCAGAACTTTTTTCATATGATCGTCCGGTGGTTCATTGGCATGTTCTCGCTTAATGTGCTCTATGACACGGTACTGATTAACCTGTAAATAATTACAGATGATACACATGAACGCATTTAGCTCATTTGAGTTGGCAAAACTTTCAGCCACATGATATCCCATGCAATGTTCATGGCCGGTCGATGCCAATGCCGCATTGCAACCCGTGCAATAAAATTCTTCTTCTTCTGTATGCTTCAAATAATGTGATTTCCAATCACATAGGGCCATTTTCAATTTTCGATTGCAGAAGAAACAAAACGTCTGAATTTGACCACTTGCATCGCATTTGGCATTCAAAATGGCACCCTTCTGGCTGTGGAGCTTGATTGTTTCTAAAACGAAATTTGACCATTTTATCGATTTCGTATTTTGGTTGCCTGGACCAGGACGGTCTTCATTAACCATTGTAAGTCGTCGCATCTTTGATATACGCGCAGCGGCTTCTCCAAACAATGGTGCCCGCTCTTGGAACATAGAACATCTTCGATTCTTTGTGATGGCCGTGTTGGTGTGAATTCGTTGGAATTGCAAAAAATGATCAATGCTCGCCCCAGATACCATGGCATTCGATTGGAATGACGGCGAACACTTTGAACTTGGTATTACTCCAGCCTTTTCGATTTGTACGGCATTTACTTTGCCTTGGCTGAATACTTCAAGCTTGGCCTCGTTCATTTTGGCAGGTGGCTCTTTGTCTCGATCGATCATTTCAACATCGTCATTTTCTAAATCGTCAATTTGCTCCAATAAATTTGTAATTTGATCAAAATCATCCTCGTCTAACTCATCGTTCATATTCGCACCGTCTTTTTGTTGGCCAATCATCTCAGCGATACACTTGGCGCGAACACTTTGACATATGCCACGTGTACTGCAAAAGAGAGAAACACCCGACTTTATCATTAGTTTTAGGCGGCATTTTAGAGATGTTTCTAATTGGTTCATTCGATTGGAAAAGAACTCATTCAATCATCTTTTCAATTCGGCACATACTCACCGATGGCCTAACGAATCGAAGAACGATTTCATGTTGGCTCTGTTCGATCCATTGGCGCTACTCTCAAAGTGTGTAACCATTTGCTGCAATTCATTCTCAATATTGGTTTGATGCGTCTCATAAAGCTCATCCAATTCATCGCCGATATTTGTGCTCATGTTGATTAACAAAACTGGAAAATCAGCAAAGTGATTCAGAAACAAACGAAACGGATTGTTGAAAAAAAAAAACGTTTTGTGTTGACTAAACAGAAAATAAGCGCAAAGTAATCAAAAAAAATCGTTTGTGATTAACAAATCGGTGGAAAAGTAGGTACACAATTGGTTGCGCAGTAAAAGTGTATTTCTGAATGACAATTGATTCATACTGAGTTTTATGGTGATTTAATTCAGTTTTAATCTAATTTTTTTTATTCACAAAGCATTTTATCATTCCAACAATTTTGCACTGAACATTCACGAAATCACTTACAAACTCAATGTCCGGGCCATAAAATGGTCAATGAACTGAATCTCAAATAGACTGAACAAATTTGAGTCGCTGCAACTGTTTCAAAGTGTCAAATGACATATGGGAAACATTAAGTTGGTGAATACAAAAATAACAACAATTTGACATTTGTGCTCCCTGCACAAAGTACGGCACATACAGGGTTATCCATTTCGGAAAAGGCTGAAATTCGTCAGAATATTTACGAAAAAAAAGAAAAACAATTTAAAATCGACAATGAAAAAAATGATATTTGAACAGAAAATTTGTAGCCGTTTTTTAAAACCTACTTGGAAATTTTTACGGAAAATGTCGAAAGCCTTAAAATATTTAAGAAAAAATGTAATTTTTCTTCCAAACACCTCATTTATAATTCATAAAAAATTTTATAGTGGGACATTTTAGTGACAGACCCGGCAAAACAACAACAAAAATGAGATTTTTTTTATTAAAATGTTTTAAAAAAATGTAGGAACAACCGCTATCGCTAACTGTCTATAGTCTGAATTTATAAATTCAAAAACAAATCCAAAAAAAAAATTACTTCCCATTTGAGAACAAAATATAGATTGCATGTCTAGACATATTATTGATTTATTTTTTTCGCCTTTTCTCAAAATTTGCTTATTTTTCATCACCATATTTTTGTCACATCACTTCCCTTCGTTAATTTGAAAGAATTGTTGTTAGGTATAAATGACTTTTATTCTATGGAGAAGGACATGAGAGTGGTAGCTATAGCACTTGTAATTCTCAAGAATATTTATTTATTTTTATTTTATTTTTACTGGTTGTGTATGGTTCAAAAAGAATCAGTCAAATCATTCATTCGCTGATCGCACAAACACAGCCACGTCGGAGTTGAACATGTATATGAGGTTGTACGATGTGCTCTATCTGGATTTATGGATCAAAGAACGAGCAAAATTTGTTGCAGCACGAAAGGTGGCAGACTACATACTGGTAGTATCGAAGAAAATTGTTTCTTGGCAAACCAAACTATGTTTCTTCCACGATTATTCACACACACAAAAAAACTATAGGTATCATTTAGACGGGTCTGTGACTTTTCGAATTTGTTGTAAACTTTGAAGTTCATTGAATGAAAATATTGGAACAATTTATTTAAATATAAGCCAACGATTGCTGAAATGTATTTTGTTGTTATGGTTTTTCTGATTTTTTCAAATTTTTTCTTGCATGAAAAGTCTTATTTATATTTTCCGCAGTTTTGGGCAATTTTCATCAATAGCTGGATATCTATAACAAAAACAAATAGAGTGGACATTATAATCCATTAAAAAAAAACTCTAAATATTCTAATAAACATCAAATTGTGAATATTTATTTGAAAAATAGCAAAATTAATGAGAAAAAACTGAAATTTCATTCCGGCTCAAGTTCAATAGGACTATTATGACCGTATATAGTCTTCGAGTTGTTTTTTGGATAATACAATTTGTCCGATGCTTTCTGGTGTACGCTTTACAATGACACCGTCCTTGGTGAGCTGATAGGAATGAAGAGCACCTTGAGCGCACGCTGATTTGGCAATTTCGAGAATTTTATTGAAAAATTCTGTCAGCTGTGAGTAGACATACACTTTTGTCTTGACTACCTTCGGAGGTAGTTTAACAACATCATTCGACCACAAATCTTTGGCGAGTTTTCGAACCGTCCTCTTGTCTTTTAGATGCTTCAATTTGACAATGATAGTACCTCGTCGAGTGTCACATCGTTCGATTCCTAGAATATCGTCGGCATCAACCTTTGCATTCACTTTTTTGCACAATGCCATGAATATTTCGGTCAAGTTTTCATTGTTCAATTCCGGAATTCCGCGGATCATTAGAATTTTGCTAATTTCGTTCTGTTTCTTTAGTTCCATGGCGTATGAATTGGGTTGAGGTGGAACAGTTGGGTGATTTTCGATAGATTGAAGCACTTGATGATTAGAATTAACTTCATTTTGGTCGATTACTTCCGTAGCGTCCGAGGAATCTTCACTTCGGCCTTTAGTATCCAAACATTTTGGCTGGCAAAGTTTCCGATATTTGGCCATTTCCAAATCGATCAAAACCTGGATGAATGCAGAATGAGCGCTGCTTTTGTCGTACCCAGTACCAACGAGATTAAGATTGTGCAACACCAGTCCATTAGCGAATACAACTTTGCTATTCTGGAAGGTTTGTTCGGATTGTGCGACGAATTCGGAACAATGTAATTCGATGGTGGTAGTGGAATTGATTCCATGCACTTTTTCGTCGTGCAAAAATAGATCCGCCAATGTACCGACTTGAAGGTTACATTCCATGCAGCGGACATTTCTTACATGTTCTCTAACATGCAACATAAATTGGTTACCATCAACTTTTGACTGACAATATGAACAAACTACAAATAAAATTGAGCATGGTTGCGGCAGCTCTTGGTCAACCGGGTCATAGATTGCATCGCGATTGGTGTGATCGTGATTGAAGTTGATTTTTAGCAATTCATTGAGATGGTCATCAGTGAATCGAAATGGACTGATCATTTCACATCGCATCACTTCTTGGTGATTACTTCGAATATACCCAATGCATTGATCCAATTGACTGACGATCAACAACACCCGGCTGATGCTCGGTTCCGTGGACGTCTTCTGAAGGAAATGAACCACTGGCTCAACGACATAGAACTGGAATAGTTGACCATCGTTGTGTTCGGCTTCCCAGTGAGCATGAATATTCTCGATCGAACTATATTGAGTTTGTGCTCTAGCATCTTGACAAATGACACATGCAAACTTTTTAGATACAGACGATGATGCCGTGTTGTTGGAACATAGCCGGCTTCGTTCTATGGTGTCATGGCTTTCTTCTATGGTGCCATGCCAGACGGAGTGAGGTATAAGGATGAAAAATTATGAATGTTCCACATAAAGAAGAAAAAGAAGAGAAAAATACATCTAGAATGATCCTTCTAAGCCAAACTGGAGGTGGACACGCATCCAATCTTCAATGAATTGACCATGAAAATTAATTCATTGCATGAATTAGATGGAATGGTATTGAACAAAAACTTACCATTAGGATCTGAATCAACACCGACATTCCTTTCAAATCCATCCTGGTAATTCAGTTCGCACGAGTAGTTTGGTGTTTTGCCTTGTTGAATGTCATTCATGAAGTCCCTGTATGTCTGGGCCACACTACGGAATAAGTAAATTGATGTATGAGTATTGATGGACTTTTTTTTTATACACAACTAGGAACTCAAACGATATTTGTCCCATTTTTTGTTCCTTACCAATCGTTTGTCAATCGATGAAATTCTGCTTCAAAATTCCCATCGAATTGCACACAATGTGCCTTGAGTTCGACCAAAGACTTCAACGTTAAATTCTGTATCTGGGTTAGGTATTTTTGAATAATCAGCTGATTAATCACGTCGTTCATTTTGGATATGGTTGATGGTGTGATTTCTGTGGCTGATTTTGACCGATGTTAGACAAAAAACAATTTTTTATGGATTTTTTGTGGCGAACAAAATAAGCTCAAGACTTTCTCAAGTTTAATTTTGAATTATACGAGTCTTTCAAACAAAAATCCAGACAAAACAATTATTTTTCAAATTGAATATTGCAATTAAATTACGAAATTAGTTAAATAAAATTTCTTTCCAACATAAGTGTATGGATAAGAAGAACAGCACATGTTTTCCCTGAATAGAGAAAGCAGCGTGGAAATGCTTACGTAATATAGTCGAGTGTCACTGCAGTTGTCAATGGATTTTGACATTTCCATCTCGGTAGTTTTTCCACTTTGAAGGAGCGCGCCGGTTTTGAACTCAAATAAAACCCTAAATTGAATGAAAATTGAGGAAAATGACAAAATTAAATCAGGGTTTTGACTATAAATTGAAACGCCATAAAATTGGAAAAAATGAATTCCAATGATCAAGAAAAAAAACAATTTTTTTCACTTAACAAGATTTTTTTATTGGAATTCCTTTTTTTTCCTTTTCCTTCTGCTTTTTTTAATTTGTGAATAATATTTTTATGTTGCCATTTGCTAAGAAAATGATGACCAATAAATGACCATTGACCATAAGCATTTTTCTGGCCGAAGGTGTAAAGTCAACAACATCTAACACTGCACACTTTTTGTTGAGAAATAGCAAAATTTTCTGTTCAGAATACCCATTTGGCATTGCTTATATAAACCAATTTTAAATGTTCAATGAAAAACCAATAAAACATTTTTAAGTACATTTTTTACGAAGTTTTTGTGGAAGTTTTAATAATCAAAAAATGAATTGATATTTTCCCTCGGTTGTTCGTGGATTTTTTTTATCGTTTTGTTTTTTGAATAATTTTTTAATAATTTTTTCTAAACATATTTTGATTTAAAAAAAAACGATTGATCCGGAAAATTCCGAATTCAATTTTGAGTTTGTTGACACGATATCAAATCGGATTGAATAACAACTCCTAACGACTATTTGTTAGAATTTTTTTAATTCCATCTCTGCATCTTTTGAAATAATCCCTTTTTACTTGAGTTTACTTATATTTTTCTTGATATTCAGCGTTTTTTAAATTTTGTTCAATTTTTTCAAAAAATTAAATCGAAACATTTTCTTCAAACCATTTGCTTTCTAAGCAATTTTTTTTTTAACTCGATTCGAGTTTGTTTTTAATTGTTCACAAAAATTGAGAAAATGTGACTTTAAAATTTAAATTTTCCTACAAAAAATCTCTTGACTTTTGGATGGGTAAATGCAGAACACTAACATTTTCTTTTTGTATGCAGGAAAATGAAATTTTCTTCGAGTATTTTTCAATTTTTTTAAATTCGTGAACCCGAATTGAATCCGTTGTAACCAAAATTCAAGTTGATATGTAAAAAATTGGTATAGAAATGATATTTTTTCTTGAATCCATATCAAAGACCATTTTTTTTTAAATTTTTAAGTGAACCAATTTCATCATTTTTTTAGCGAACTTTTTGAATCAATTCAAAATGAACGAGTTCTCCGCTTCAATCATTTTTTCCCTTGATACTTTTCCTTCTGTTCCTTCAACATTGACTCCACCAGCTGCTGAAATGCTTTGCTGTCATCAAAATCGGTTTTCAGTGTGTTGCACCTGTGAGAATGAATGGGATAAAAACGAGATTCAAAATAAATTACAATATCTTACTTGTTCAAAACCAGTCCATTGCCAAACGATAGCTTGCTGCGCCAGAATCGATTGAACAAAAATCGTTTGTACAAAAAGTCGGCATTTTTCGTTAGATCATGTTCGTTGACCTGATGATTGATGAACTCATACAATTCCGACGTTTCAAAGTGGCACTTGGAACAAAGAACGGAAAATTTATGATTGGCAAAATGGTCGAGCAGTTCATGTGGATTGAGTTTTGACTGGCAACACCCGGTGATCACATGCAGGCTCTCTTTGTCGAATACTTTATGCGAACTCAGTTCCAATGATTCATGCTCCTTCTTATGATGTATTTCGATATCAGTGTCTGTTTCAAACAGCTCCATGCGATTGTTCAGGTCGTTACAAATGCCACACTGTCGTTTTCGATTGATATTGATGCCGGTCAATTTGTTGAGCATTTCATTGCTCAGGCTGACCGGATCGAGATTGTTGATCTGCACGGTGAGTTCATGTTTGCTTTTGAAATGTGCGGCCAGGCCATCGCCCATGTACTCGCATATACCGCATTTATTCGGGTCCACCAAATCGGATAAGATAAAAGGAGTCTGGTTTTGTGCGTGTTTCTTTTCATGATGTGCCTTGAGGCCATGGAATGTGCTGAAGAAATTACAATAATGGCATGACACCAACAAAGCGGCTGAGAATTGAAATGGTCTTGTTGAATGTGTTGATTTCCAGTGTGAATGTACCTCTTTAACGGTGGCCCAGCAAGCCATTGTATCGCCGGCCTCATCGCAATGCACACATGTAAACAACAGATACCGATCATACAGTGAATTCTTCATGGTAAATGTGCCTGAGTTCACAATTTTTTCACTGTTCAATTGAACGATTTTGCTCAACTTCAGATCGATAGAGAAACCACTGTGATGTCGTTTCTGATGATCAACCAATTGATCTTTGGACAAAATTGACTGGTTGCAACGTTGACAGACGAAGAATTGCCGGAAAAGCAATGGTTTTTTCTCCACCGAAAATGTTGTCACCATTCCGACTGTTGTCGTTTTCACCAACTGAATCGCAGTAAAGTCAACGTTCAATGAATCGTGCACCTTCTTGAAATGCGTCGAAGCCGATGATACGTTATCAAAGCGGCTGTTACACAAATTGCACTCCATCAAAATGGTGACTTCACGTTTCTCGATTCCATAATGATGCGAACGGATATTCTGGCGATATTGAAAGTCATCCATCGGATGCTTGCGTACAATGTGCAAAATGACATCAAATTCAGTGCCAAAAGTGTGCTGGCATGTGACACACTGGAACAAATCACAGCCGTGAAGCTTATAATGATTAAGAATGTCATCAAAACAGCGCCAGCGAATCAACTGTGAGCAATGTGGACACATAAAATCGCCCCATCGATTGTGCAAATGCTTGAAATGCTCGAGTAGATCAACTGAGTCACCAAAATGTGCGTAGCATTGGCCAAAACCGCATCGATATCTATCGGCTGAGCCAATAAATTCATGGCCATTCATAATCAGCGACGTGATATGCCGGAGATTCGGGATCAAAGTGACCTTTTTCGAGTGTTTGTTGATCTCGTATGATGTGCTACCGTGCTCATTCACCAAGTGCTTGACCAAATTGTCTTTGTTTATCTGCAAAAAATTGCACAACTTACAGATGTAGCCTTTCAAAGCGCAGTTATTTGTTTGGCTAGCGAATATATGCTTGACAAATGTCTTGGAGCAACCCTCATGTTTTGCTTTCATTGACAGTCCAAGCAAACACTTCGAACAATAGTACTCGAATTCACCCGTGTGTGACAGCAAATGCTGTTTCCAATTGTTGATCGTGTATTTTTTGAGCTGCTCACAGAAGAAGCACATTCCACTGATGATTCCAGCCTTGCACTCAAAACTCTCGCCTTGACATCGAATTCGCTTTATCATCACCGGAGATGGTCGCGATATAAACACTTCGCTGCTTGGATGCGCAAGGCGATAGTGATCAACGAGATTCGCATCGATTTTACTGCACAGCATACATTTTGAGATGTACACTGGATGCTTGCAATGGATTTTTGCGTCAATGTTTTTCGGAATGATCGCGTTCAGTGGGGTTTCTGTGGATGAAAGAATGAAAAATGAATGGGATTTTTGAAGAGTTGATAAAAAAAATGGACCAAATGTTGAAAGAAGTGATAAATTTATAATATAAGTGGGAGATTTCCCAAAAAATGACGAAATTTTCTTCAAATTTCATCAACTTTCCCGATCAACTCCAACCCAAAAATGCTCTTTTTACACAAACCTTCTTCCAATGACATTTCCAGCTCTTCCAACTTTAATTTCTTGACTAAAACTGCACCCTCTCCATCGGTTGATACCTTGCGTTTTACTGACGGACCCGATTTATTGGCCCGTTCAAAGTTTTTCTGCCAATGACTGGCTGCAGCTATAATATTCTTAATACGACGATCAATTTCTTCCTCTGTCATAACCACCGCTGATGCAGTCACTTCGGGTAAGTTTGAATTTACGGCGGCGCTAGACACTTCTTCAGCGATATTGCTGATATGATGTTCAATCGATTCAGTGTCATTTGTGATCTTAGCATCATTCACATTTGAGCTTAAATCTTCTGCCTGCTCAATGGCTTGATCGCAATTGATCTCATCATCCGAGTCCTTTTCCATTTTGATCAATGCCGATGGAACAATTGTGGAATTTCGTATTTGTGGCGAATCTTCTGTGTTCGTGGTACCATTTGTACCAGCTGTGGCCGAATATTCGTTGGTAGTTGACGCATCACAACGGCTAGTTGACGGCAAGTGATCAGCTAGTGTTTTAGTAGCTTTAGCTTCTAAGTTTGTTGTATCGTCGTTGGTGGTTAAGCTGGACGTATCATCAGCTTGAATCGCAGTAACTTTCAAGCCGCTATCTGAAGTCGGGTTGTTTGTCGATGTCAATAAACCATTGGCTGAAGTTGATGTGATAATACCATTGGCTATGACTGGGGTGACGATTGTCAAGCCACTGGCTCGAAGCGTGCTAGTTGCCGATACACAACTGACTGGAGTCGTCTTGACAGCCGTTAGGTTGTCAGTTCGAGCAGTGCTATCTGTTGCTTCTACATTTTTGGCGGCTGTGTATCCCAATTGGAATTTTCGACACGTTGCACTTAGCCTGGAAATGTGATAAATTTGGTAAGACACGATGTGAAATACAAAAATGTGTAAAGATCCGTGACGTGATATCAATTTTGCAATTTTAGGAATGACACACAGTGGAAACATGTGTGACACACACATTGTGTGTTGGATGTAGGCAAATCCATCAAAATGTACAGATAAGCACAGTAAGCTCAGGTTTAGTTAACTTACCGACAGCAAAGAAAGTCGAAATAAGACGGCTCTGTGGTTAGATTTGCCGACGGCTGACACGATTCGAATGCCAATGACACTTTCAATAGCTCTTCCTCGATGCTGCTTTCATGTGCGTCAAATATTTGGTTTAGCTTCTGCTTCCAATTTGAATTCATCTTATTCGCGTTAAATCGATTCTCTAATGGGACTGAAAGAGGGAAAATAGAATGGCATAAATGAGAATACATGAAACAATCGTAATACTCTCTATGTTAGAGTGAAGTTCAATGCTATTTCTAACGCGATAATTTTTGATCAAAAACGATTTTTCTAATAAAACGAAAAATAATTGCAATAAGATGGAGTCTGATTCCAATAAAATAGGGAGTATTTAAAAAAAATCCATAAATCTGCTAAAACAAATTCTTCTCAATGAATTAACCACACTTTTTTTTGACTGTTTGCCTAGTTGCGGCTTGATTGAAACTGTTCCATTGAGTCAATGGCATTGACTTTATTTCTACTTACGTCTTGATTCAGCTCACAATTTGACGATATTTCACCCAAATTCACAAAAAATGTTATCCAACTCTGATTGTATGCAGAATAAAGTCACACAATTTCTACATGGAATCGTTTGTGGCGAATTTGCGCGGAACACGTTTGACGTTTCGAGTAAACAAAATGAGTGTAGCGTTGTATTGTGTTGGAATGCGACGCACAATCTCAATGCTAAACGGATATTCCAGTACACATACACAGCTTGCGAAATGGCATCATGAGTGAGTGATGCTTTGATTTATATCCAAACACACGCACAATATTTGGCAAGCATGACGAAAAGACGGAGAAAGCGAGAGAGTAAGAAAAATGCGAACGACTCTTGTGGTTGGCTGTCAATGCATTTTCGTGAGCTGCTGCTTACGTCAGCAATACATACAATGAACGTTTAATCAATACACAGACACGGGCGATGCGACAACGAATGTATGGTGCCGTTCATCTTGTCTCGGATATTATTCAATTCGTGATGATCGAAGGAACGATGTCTTCTTAAACAATAAACACAATGATTTGGATTACTTTTTGGTTGATGCATTTCTTTCAATTCAATTTTGCGATTTTATGGAATCTTTTTAGCAACGAATTTTTTAAAGAAAACTCTACCGATCGAGTGAAATAATTTTCTCCATTTCACAGTCAGAATAGACACACCATGTTTTGTGATTTGATTCGAAATGTACACGGCCGTTTGTGCACTGTTGCAATCACTGTATGTGAATTATTTGTCATGGTTTTTGCATACGGCTAATTGCATTTTGTGTATTTCGCTGCGGGAATTTGCTTGTTTTTTACGGGTGGAATATTTTCCTATGGACAATCGACAGATTTTTCTCTGGTTTTTCTCTTCTTTATTTCTGCTGAAAAGTAATTTTCCCGAAGTCTAATTTTTATGACACCAAAAAATGCAGTATATTTTATTTATATTTTTTGTGAAGCCAGAACATTGGGCATTAATTTAATTTCAATGGTTGAATATTTAATGCTAATACTTAAGCTTAATTGAAATTATAATTTTAAAAAAATGTTGCCTTGTTTTAGAAATGATAAAAAAAATATTTTGGTTAAATATAAAGTTTATTATTTATTTATTTATTACGAAGCCTACATTTATGCTAATATGTGTTCACAGCGAACTGAGAACATGCTGGTCATAGACCCAATACGGCATAAATTCCGCCCATGATGCGTCTTTTGCACAGAGATTACAGTCAGGGGGGGGGGATGATATAAAAGTGAGAGATGAGTTTTTACAATTAAAGTACGTTAACATCAATGGGAAAAAATCAAATGAAAAATCACAAACTAACATACGGTTAGTGCAAAAGCATTCACTGCCCTGCCTAACGCGAGCGCCATCTGTTCAGTTTGAACATGAAAACAAACAAATTGATCCATACAGAATTATAATACAACAACATCTCTATATAGAGGAAACGCTGTGGTTCGTTTTGTTCGGCATATTTTTTATACACTGCCTTCATTTCCACCGATTCATATATCGGTTGGCAGCTGGAGTCAATTTGTTTGTGTTCATGTTCGCATAGATGGCGTTTGCGTTAGGGAGAGCAATAAATGCTTTTGCACTAAAGGTATGCAAACTAAAACCTAGATTGGATAAGAAATTTCATATTAGGATATTTTATTAACGTCAAAAATACTCTTGTCAATTTTTATGATAATTTTCAATTTGCTGTTGGTGTTTTTGAAATTTCTATCTAAAATCGACTTTTTCGTTAAAATTGATTTTGAATATTTTTTTAAAAACTTATTGTTACAATTTTCTTATAATGGCATGGGTTAGATTATGATAGATCAAAGAATGTGACAGGCACACGGCAGCCAAATGATTCAACGGTCCAAAATCATTGTTCATATCAACTCTGCCAGCATTCGACGATGCCAATTAAAACATGTGAATTGACAGAGATTATACTAATAATTATAGGTAAAAATACAATCTCCATGTTTCGATTCGTTGTGAATGCGCCCAGACAAGAAGAGGGCGGCTACTTTTACTTTTGCAGAATTATGTGGCCAATACTTCGAACCTCACGGATGAAGCTCAGGCTAAATTAAAACTAACAAGCAATCCGAACATAGTGTTCGGTCATTAAAAATACGAGTAGTGACAAATGGAATTGAAAATGGTCAGTGAATGTAGTTGCGAAAAGGCTAGAAAAAATCGAAATTCTAGTGATTTTTCGATTCTAAGCGTTATCAAGAGTGTATCAACTGCATAAATTGTGGTGTACATTGATGAATTGTGATAACGTACAACACAAGCACACTGGTTCGGAGTTAGAAATATGTTCACCTAGATGTTTCATACATATAAAGCTGACATTTTGACCTGGAATGTTTTAATATTTGGACCTTTCTTGATAAAGAATAATTTCTAAAAAGTCATGTTTGTTGGACAGAGATTATACTAATAATTCCAAGTAAAAATACAATCTCCATGTTTCGATTCGTTGTGAATGTACTCAAACAAGAAGAGGGCGGCTACTTTTACTTTCTACCTGATTTCGTATACATATTGGCAAAAAGATTCATCTCCTCAAATAAAATAAAATAAAATAAAAACATGTTGACAAAGAGCAATGTTAATTTGGAATCAGTTCATTTCGAAACTCTGAACGGACCAGACGTCTTTTTACGGTTGTTTAAAGTGAAATATTATAATTTAAATTAATAAGACTTCTTATTCTGATGTAAATGGCAGAATATATTTGCAAACGTTTTCGATAAGTCTACTTATCATCTTCAGGCTTCACAACAAACTGACAAGATTTCGTGACAATATTTTAAATGTGAAAACATAATTTGAAAAGTGAAACATTGCAATGGTTTTTATTGCTTTTTTTTAAACATAAACATCAATATTTAAAAACAAAATCTAAATTGATTGAAAGTGTCAATTCTATAATAATATTCTACACAAACTCAAAACAGAAAGTATATTTCGAAACAGAAAGTATTTGGGAAAGTGAAGATCAAAGACGAACTCATACTTCAAAGAAAGAAAAGTTTCAATATTAAAAATGACCGAAGCAAACAGAAGAAAACTTAATCCAGAAGATTCTCAATCAACGAGTGAACCATCAAACACGGGATTTTGTTCAATGGACGACGATTGCATCAACAATGTTTTTGACTGGCTATCGATAGAAGATTTGTGTCGACTTAAAGTGACGTGCAAGCGTTTATACTTGCTGGCCAATGACCATTTCAACAAGACGTATGGCCAAGTGTGGGTAGGTTATGGAAACATTGGAGGTGGTATAATGAACACAACACGTAATAAATACCATAAGTCTTTCACTGCACACGCCCGCATTGTCATGCTTTTTCAAGGTGTAAAAAAAGTATCTGACATGGCATTGGTACTTAATCAAAATGTAAAACATATTTCATGTTGGTCAGGTTATTTATATGCTGATTCAGATGACATGCGCATCAGAAACAAGTTGAAAAATGTTGAAACGATTGAAGTATTTACACTATCCGACAGTTTGTTACAGCTTTTTCCGAATCTGGAGTACATATGCTTTAGTGACTTTCTAAAAATTGACGAAATATTAGGGAATTATCCGACGCTCAAACAATTTTACTGGCAATGCTGTGACGATGATATCAATATCTATCAGTTAAAAATGGAAAATTTCCTCAAGCGAAATCCAAATATAAAAGCATTTTCTTCAGATGCACCGGTTGGCACAACGAACTGGTTACTGAGTTCAGGGATTAAGTTTGATGATCTAGTATTGAATCTAAGGTGGGGAGAATATGATGATGATGAAATCATCGAAAATGTGCATTCTCTTCACAAGAATCAACAGATCAAAACATTACATCTGACAATAGGGAACGAGCAATTTTTGTCCAATCCGAGGTTTTCAACACTCAAATTTCTGGAAGGCATCAAAACTAATGCATTAGGGGATAATGATGAAATGATTGCTGCCCTAGTCTCTTTGCCAAATCTGAAATTTTTGAATTTTTCGCATAGACATCCCTTATATAAAAAACATTTTGAGCTTCTAGCCCAGAAACTTCATGTACTTGAAGAATTTCACACAAATGCTTTTCTAGGCACTGATGATATCATTCCATTCGCACGTTACTCAGCAAAACTTAAATGCATTTACATATTTGGTAATGATTTTGGTTATAAGTTGAAAAGTTCCATCGATACCCTTCAAATGTTGAATAAGGAGCGACGTCAACTGAAGAATGCATGCAAACTAACGATTTATTTGCCCGAGAAATATTACTTGTACATGAAGAACAACTCATCAACTAATAGCTACGGCCTGGTGAAAATCAAACGTACGGAATCCTATCCCATGTCGAAACATCCGTTACGACCACATTAATCAACCTAATTATTTCGAAGCGGACGATTTCAATGAATTACAATTTATTATTTTCTGAGATTATCACTAGCGACTAGCTTTTAACATACTCAATTATAACTATAATAAATAAACCAATCTAATAAAGATATCCAAATCTACAGCTTGTTATTTTTCAATTTCTACTGAAAATTTGGTTTTAATTAAAGCAAGGTTCACAGTTTAACGACTCTTTCAAGTGTCCAAATTGGTTTTTTGGATCATTGATATTTAATTTTTGTGTACGTTTGAGCTTCCACAAAAATGGACGGGATAAGGCAATACGAAACCAAAAACATCCCATTATAATGCTAAGTCTAGAAAAATTCGTCCAAATCTCTACGAAGAAATTTTCTTTCATCGAACTTTGAACTACATACCTTTGTGATTAACTGGGCTATGAAAAATTGTTTACCAGAATCTGGATTATTAAAGTATTTATTAAATAATTCAATTTCTGACGACAATTCAGTCTATTTAAACCAAAAATATAGTTGGTACAAGGACTTTTTCGACTCGAGCTTCATACCAGCGATAATGTGTCACAAGGAGGCTATAATCTGTCTGGCATTGGCTTGAATTGGGGAGATTTTTTGAACAGAGCTTATGCAGATGATTCTACGTAAAAATACAATCTCCATGTTTCGATCGATGTTCAACGTGCATACACTCAGACAAGAATAAGGCGGCTACTTTTACTTTCTACCTGATTTTGTATAAGGTAATGTTCCCTTAAACGGGACGCACTTCGACATGGTTTTTTATCTTTGACTAGTGGAAATATTTTCGAGAATGTGATATACCGTTGGAAAGAGGATGAGCAAAGGAACCTTTTTGCCTTAGACAGTTTTTTATTTACATTACAAAAAAAAATTTATCGCAAAATTTCCGACCATGACGAAAATCGGAAAAAAAAAATTTGTCTCCTTAAATGGGACACTCCGA